TTAGAAGCGGCTTAGAAAAGAGATTATTGCAGCTTCGTGCATAAACACGCACGATTTATGACCGAGTATTCGGTATGTATTGATTTTCAGTTGCTAAGCAACGAAATTTCTCCTTCCAAGAAAAGTAGATTGTAAACATTCGGTGATAATAGGTGTCGGCCATGACCTCAGATAGGATAAAGGCTGTAAACTACATTAATTATCGGACATTTCTTGGAAAGACAGAATGTAAAATCTTTCGAAAGGGCTAAGACGATTTAAGAAAATAAAAGTTAGATATGGTATTTTGTGTGAAACTCGGCGTCTTATCTTGAGACAAGGACACAGGCAGATTGAGCCCATTTGATGACAGGGGATGGATCAAGAACGGAGGTATGAAAAAGACGTTCGAACCTTGGAAGACTTTGGCACAGATGGGAGGATAACATTTAGATAGATCTGACAAAACTAGTATTTTAATGGATGAATTCGATTTATCCGGGTTGAAGAAGGGACTAATGGCGGGCTTTTGTAAAAACGGTAAAAAATGTCGGGATCCATAAAAGGCATGGAATGTCTGGAGAGACTACAAAAATGTAAGTCATTCTAGAAGGACTCTACTTCGTGGGTTAAAATCCATTTTAAATTTCGATATGAGGTCTCTGCCCCAGGGAGTTCGTTTTCAGATGGAAAAAACAGGGAAAATGACCTGCCTATGTCGGTGCTGAAGAATATCCGGCTCTGTGTTGTCTGACGAAATGCCTATCTATTCTTAACAAGGCGTAGAACGTACTCTGACGTATGACACGCCAGCTCTGGTGCAAGAATATGACGCTGTTGTTAGCTCTTCCTTTGAAATCTGAAAGTCGAACAGAGTAGTCGTAAGCTTATAACGGCCACAGCACATGTCATTACGTCTAGACGTTGTGTCGAGTAACAGGTGATTCACTCGCAAGCAGAGAAACTGACAATGTGCCTTGTAAACACGTGGCTGTCTGCCAACGCAGATTCGAGGCCAAGGAAGCAGAGAATTTATTCCAGGAATGGAAAAATTGCAACAGCCTGTTTCGGTTCTAATTTTCTAGCCAGCAACTGAATAAAATCTGATAGGAATAAATTTGTTTAAATCATATTTCCGTTTCTCTCCACATAATAATTTGCCTTGTTTAAAAAAAAGAGCTCATGATTGTATTTACAGCCAAGAGGGTCTGTATTCAAATTAAAGTGGCTGTATTGCCTTAAATTCTATGTATTCCTGAATAGATTTTGAAATTGATATGCAAGATCGGTTTC